AAAACCATGAATCAGGGCAAAACTATAAAGCCACATCCTTATCATAACATTAAAGGCTATTTCACATCACGTAGGAGCTGTTACTTTTCTAAGTAGCCTGGAGTTGTTTTGCAAGAAGCTCATTTACAACAGAGTTTCATGTAGTTTGAGAATATGGAGTCAGGTGGGCAAGGGATAGGCATTAGGAAGAAATTGTTTACTATTTTAACATGAACATGTATGTTATATGTTTTTTAATAGACATTTCTACCATCCAGCAGTGGAAACAATGACAGGTTTTGTGTGCAGTTAGAGAGGAGGTTATATTCACAGCTTGGAGACTGGGGAGGCAGTTGGGATATAGGTAGAGAACTAAAACAGAGGTATTATAAAGCATAGAGTAGATACAAAAATAAAACACACAGGAATGAGGTTAGGGGCAAATGTGAGGAAAAGGGGGAAGAATTATGGAGTTCCTTATTACTGGAAAGATTTTGAAGTCTCATAATTTACCTAAGGGATTTCTCTAATTCTCCATGAAGAAGAAGTTCTTCCCTTTCCCTTAGGTCATAATGTAAAAAAAAAGTCAGAGATATCTCAAAGTCTTCTCAAAACTCTCAACACTTTACAATAATGAGAAAACATATGCTGAACGAGAAATATTAATAGAAAATGCTGTCTTTCAGATGCTTACTGAATCAACTGAAGACAGGTGACACATCTTTAGTAAGCTCTATATGAATCTTAGCTCGTTAACCAGTCCTGTGTTATGTATGCGGATTCCAAGTCCTTATATGACACATCAGTTAACCAGATCTGAAAAGGTGTCATTTCAATTTTAATGTATCCAATCATGTTTTTAGATGTTCCTCCACTTAGAAGTATTTGTGCTATTTCCTGCTTCTACAAGCTATGGAAGAGTGGGTGTGGTATTGATTTGAAAGGAAAACCACTGCTTGCCTATAACCTTTTCAAAGATTTTCTTCTGATGATGTTGTAAGGAAAGTAAATTTCTCTTCCTTAATAATATTCCAGCTCTCTCTGAACCATTGTTCACTTCCCCTTCAGTACTTAAAGATAACTTAGCCACACAATGCATGTACCACTGTTCAATTGTGCAATTTCTCAAGTATGTATAAAAGTAGAGAAAGAGAGAAAAAGTATTTCTATGAAATAGCCTTCATGTAGAATGTTTCTTAGAAGCAGGTATGGAAACCACCATATACTTTTATTAGGATTCTTAAGTGTAACTCACTTGCTCCCCAATCCCATCATCAGTCTCTGGCGATCACTAAGTTTCTAGTGTGCTGTGAAATGTCAGGCTAGCATGGCAATTGTGTTGTCACCAATTGGCGCCAACTCAGTTCCAGTATTGGCAACTACATTTTGAACGGCCAGTGCAACCAGATAGGTTGCTTGCTGCTGAAAATAAAGGGTGACCTAGACACAGCATGGACCTCAAAAACCGTGAGGGTGAGAAAGGGGTGAATATTTATGCAGTATGTACTTTTTGCTAGCTATTGTGCTAGGTATATTACATACTATCTTGTTTAATCCATAAATAAGCCTTTTAGATATTATTCAAAGAAAGTGAGAAAGTTTTCCAAGACCACCCAGCTAATAAAAAGCTGTTACAAAATTCAAACCAAGGTCTGTGTATTCTAATCCATGTTCATGTCTTTCATTTGTTCAATAATTCTCTCTTTGTTCATTTATTTTTATGTTTTTTAATTTTGTAAAATATTTTATTTATTTCAGAGAGACAGAGACAGAGACAGAGACAGCATGAACAGAGGAGGGTCAGAAAGAGAGAGAGATACAGAATCCGAAGCAGTCTCCAGGCTCTGAGCTAGCTGTCAGCACAGAGACTGACGTGGACTCAAACCCACAAACCGTGAGATCATGGCCTGAGCCAAAGTTGAAGTTAGATGCTCAACCGACTGAGCACTCAGGCGCCCCTCTCTTGGTTCATTTAACCCTCTATGTGCCAGTATAAAATCTGTCTGGCTTCATAGGAAAATTCGCAGCTTAATGGGAGAACTTGAAAGCCATTCAAGTTGGAAATAACCATGTGGAATGTTGAATAAATAGAATGTCTTAAGTGCAGTGGAACGTAGAAGAGAGCAAACTGACTCTGTCTAGGGCAGTTTCGTAGTTCTTCTATCTCATGGTTAAATAAGCTTATTAAAGTTTTAATTCTTCCTCAAGCACCATGGCAGTGACCTTGCAAATTTAAATATATATAATTAAGCAACCCCCAACTTTTCTTAAACCTGAATCATACGTTCCCTAAAACTGAAGTTTGCTCCTGGATGTAGCCATTTTAGGCCACTCTCCACTTAATTGTCTCTCAAACTTAACTTATAACTGCTGCTTATTTAGTTCCCAATGTCAACTGATCCCTTTTTTGGAGACTCTGACAGTGATGGAAACTCTGACAGTGACCTGATCGTTATGATGGTGAGAAATTTAAGTGAAATTAGAAAGGTTTCCTCTCCTCCTCTTCCTTCGTCTCCTCTCTCAATGTCATCTTTATTGCTTGAACCAAGTGGTTCACCAGATCCTTAGGTAAATGATACTTCTAGTATCATGCCAACTATGCAGAAATGTTTCCACCTCGTGCATATATAAATGTGTGTATGTGTATTTGCATACGTGTGTGTGTGTGCATTTACATGTGAATTATAATCATTGGTGTGTGTGTTAGCTTCAGATAACTAGTTATAAGGTATCCAAGTACCCTTAAGAGCTGTACCAATTTCACTCTCAGCTTTATTGAGTTGTTTTACTTATTTTTCTGAGTTAGATCTATCCCATAGGTTCCAAGTGGTCCTACCATCGCATTGTCTTACCATCATTAAGTGACAAGGGAGCTTTATTTCCTTTTGGAAGAAAGATTATATCTGCAATGATGTTGCAACTGGCTTTTCTTTTACTTTCTCTCTCTCCTTTTTTTTTTTTTTAAATTTCTCTCTCTCTTCCCTTTGTCTCTTTCATTTGCAGTTGTTTAATCCATATTATGTTGGAACTCTTCTAAGAATAACTGCAATTTTGAAAGCTCTAACTGTGGGAGGCATTATTTATAGTCCTTTGTGGTTTGGGGAGGAAGAAGAAAAGTTTCCAAGCAGAGTTCTACTAGGAAGATTGCCCCCCACTCCACTGCAGCCAAATACCATCTTTTGCAGGATATTTTCCTATAATTCCTTATTAGAAGTTTCTTTTGCAACAGTGTGTTTAAAAAAACAAACAAACCTGCCAGCTTCTGAACTAACTCTTTCTTACCCTACTCTGTAGGGTTTACGTACCTAATAGCAGGTGATAATGAACTGAAGTTTTGGAAGCACTTTGTATTAGGCATTGTGTTTGGCATTAGTATCAGAGACTCATCTTCAAAGCCTTTGGTCCTCTATGGCTGATTTTCTTTTGTTAACAAAACCCAGAGACAGAAAGTACAGGACTGATTTGACTGCTTCACAGACTCAGAGAAGCTCCTTCTAGCTGCATGGACTCAATTCTCAAGGTTACCTGATGGTACAACCATTCCATCTACACTCTGAGGAGCAGAAAGGTAAAAAGGCTAAAAAACTACATCAGCTCCTGGCACGTGGCCTCATCAGAAGCTCCATCTATCACTTTGGCTGAAGTCTCGTTGGCCTGATGTGGTCACACAGTCACTCCAGCTGTCAAGGAGTCTGGGAAAAGAACTCTTTTCACAGAGTGTGCTGCCATCCACTCAACAATGCATTGTCTTGCTAAAGAAGAGAAGAGATATTGGGTGGATGTGTACCTTACATATTATTCTCATATATCATCTTTTCCAAAAGTGACCGCTTAAGGATCTCCAGGAGCTCTGTGAGTTAGAGACAGAGTATGGAAATAAAGGTGCCTACATCAATGTGCATAAAGTGTTTAAGTTGAATAAATAATTACAATTCTAAGTCCTGGTTAAAATTATGGTAGATGAATACTCTAGATGCTAAGTAAATCAACTCTTATCATGCTGTCCATGCCCATAAAGGAAAAAAGAAGCAAAATGAAAGAAAGCAATCTAGGTGGTAGTTTTAAACAACTTATTTTTTAAAATATATATGACTAAGTAATATGCCTTCAATTTCTAATTTTTGCACTTTTTAATTTTATAGCAAAACCAGATTCTGTTAGAGAGAGAAGATAACACAGAAGTAATTAAAAAAATTATTTACCCTTCCACAAAACCAAGTGAACAATAGAATATTGGTAATTGAATCACACTGTGTGTCCTCATCTGTTCATTTCCTATTGCTGCTATAACAAATTATCACAAACTCAGTGGCTTCAGACAACACAAATTTATTATCTTACATCCCTGGAGGTCAGAAGTCTGAAATCAGTTTCACAGGGCAAAAATTGAGGTGTTGATAGACCTATGCTTCTTCCGGGGACCCTCTTTCCTTGCCTTTTACGGTTATTAGAAGCTGTCTTCGCTCCTTAGCCCACGGCCTTTCATCGAATAGCCTTTATTTTTCTGTTTCCATTGATACATCATCTTTTCTCTCTGACTGATCCTCCTGCTTTTCTCTTAACCACCTTTGTGATTTTACTGGGCCCACACAGATAACTCTGGAATAATCTCCCCATCTCAGAGTCCCTAATTGAATCACATTGGCAAAGTCCCTTTTGTCATAGAAGGCAACATATTCACAGGTTTCAGAAATTAGGGCGTGGACATCTTTGAAAAGCCCTTATTCACCTTCCTGTATTTTATAAAACAGTAAATCATTTATAAAACTGATTCAATAACTGATCTTAACAAGAAGATTATGTCAAACCTACACTGTTGCTGCTTGATGTTACTATGATCTACATCAGAGTCAAAATAAAAAACTTCATGACAATGATGTTGAACACATCTATTCTCTTTGGTTGCCAGTTAGAACTTTATGTTGCTAAGTTTTAGTCCAAAATTCTCCTAAGAAAATTCCCTCATGCACCTATAAAATCTTCTTTTTTTTAACCTTCCTTTTTATTTCTTTATTTTTCAGAAAAGCAAGACTACAACACAAGAATTGAAACTATAAAGTCTCTTGTGCAAAAACTCCCCCCACCAAATCGTGACACCATGAAAATTCTCTTTGGACATCTAACCAAGTAAGTTGTAAGGGGTTCTGATTGGGTCCTCATATTCTCATTTCTTATATGGCAGTATTGAATTTCAACTCTCACAGACAAGATTTTCTAAATGCATTTATCTCAAATTTTCCCCATAGCCAGTGTAAGTCTTCCTGCAGAAGCTGGAGAAGGTGCTAAAGGTAGAAAGGAGAACTTATAAAAGGAACCTCTAAAATAAGTTATTTTTCCTAATATTTTCAACAAGTAGGCATTTGCTGATCAATTGTCATAACCTTACCCACAGCCCTAGGATGGACTGTCTTTACTTCATTATCTAGTATAATGGAAAGAACATGAAATAATTCAGAATTGAGAGCAAACCGTAGCTTCATCATGTAGCAAGTGCTATGACTATGAATAAGTAACCCTGTCAGAAATTCAGTTTCCTCATTTGTAAAACATTGATTCAGATTAGTAAGGTGCCATCCATGTAAAAAGCTAAAAGAAGAGTATTGAAGGCAAAAAAAAAAAAAAAAAGCAAATGTAAAGGTCGAGGGGCCCACAGAGCTTGATGTTTTTGAAAAGCAGAAAGCAAGCCAGAATAGTTAGAGCTTAATGAACTAGGAGGATGGTGGTAGGAGTTAAGGTCATAGCCATTAGATCATCTGGTATCAGGTCACATAGGTTCTTACGAGCCTCAGTGAGAGAGTTGGATTGTATTCTAAATACAATGAAAAACTGGGGTGCCTGGGTGGCTGGCCCAGTTGAGCGTGCAACTCTTGATTCCATATCAGGTCATGATCCCAGGGTCAGGTGATCAAGCCCCGTGTTGGACTTTGTGCTGAGCATGGAGTCTGTTTAGGATTCTCTCTCACCCTCTGACCCTCCCCCCAGCTCATTCATTCTCTCTCTCTCACCTCTCTTTCTTTCTAAAAAAAAAAAGATAATAAAATAAATATAAATACAATGAAAAACCATGAGGAGTGATAAAGTGAGGGAATATAAAAGATCCCTCTAGCTGCCATGTGGAGAGTGGATTTGTAAAATGGAAGCAAGGAGACCTGTATGGAGGCAACCATGGTAGTCCAGGCAGGAGGTAAGGATGGCTTATGTGGAGTCCTTAAAGAGATAAACTGGTGATGGGTCAGGTTAGATCTGCTGCTGGTCAGAATACAGATCGAACAGGAAAGGAAAAAGCAAGTGTGCCTCTTAGGATTTGGACTTAGGCACATGAAGAAATGGTAGTACTACACAGATAGATGGGTTGAATAAGAAGAGCAGATTAGAAAGCTCCATTTGGACACGTTAAGTTTGAAATGACTGGTGCCTTAACACCTTCTTCAGATAAGGCAGAGTGCAATTCAACTGATGAGGTTTTAGCTTTCGCCATATACATATAGTAATGTTGAAGCCTGATAGAATGTCAAATAGATTGGACTGTTTTGCTTCGGCGAGATTAAATCTCCTTAATCATCCATTCCTTGGGTTGAGTCATTCCTACAGATTATTCAACTAATCCATTATATGCTTTTTAATTATAAGTTTAATACATGTAATTGCACACACACAAAATTTAAGCAACAGTAGTGCATATAGATTAAGAGGTAAAATTTGTCTACTGGTTACTCTTAGCCTGCTGAGCAGAAGTGACCAACAATTTTGTATATATGCTTTCAGACCTGTGTTAAAGCACATGCAAACATATGTCTGTATGGTTGTTATTGTGTTAAAGTGAATCATTTTGCACATATTATTATGCAGTATTTTGCAACTCATGGACAGCCTTCTATGTCATTAAACAGACTTGACGTGATTCTCTCTAATGATGACATCTACATAGCATTTCATAGTCTGGATAGTCCATGATTTGCTTAATCAGTTACTACATTAGGGAACATGCTTTAATCTAATTCATCATATTAGTTTCTTTCTTATTTCACCCCAGAAGATAACCTGTGTCAAGGTTCAGACCTTCCCTTTTTGCTAGGATGTCCCCTCTTATCACCTCCACATATTGACTCTCCTGGGAAACCCATGTGGTTTAGTGAAAGGATCTTGGGTTTTAGGGAAATAGAAAAAGAGAGAAGGTCAAATCCTCACTTTATACTTTGCTCCTCTTATGATTTCAAGCACATAAAATCGGATTAAATAATATCGACCATACCTTGTGGTTATGAGAATTAAATGAGATAACACATATAAAATGCTTGGCACAAGGTAAGCATTCCTCAAATGTAAATCCTTTCCCCATAGGATCCAGGCACACCATGAAAAGGGTTTCAGGTTACAAGTTAACACTGGAGTGCTTATCCTAGTAACTTGAACTGGATGAAGTCATAAAACAAAAGGAGAGCATATTCATACTGCTATGTACTACCTAGTCTTGGAAATCTTGAGAAATATCCAGTACTCAGCCTCAGTTATTCATTTTTTCCTTCAACTGAATGAACAACTATAAAATGAAGAAACTTAGAGTCAGCTAAGTCCTCCTTTGAAAAAAAAATAAAACAGATGAAAATCCATCCAATTAAAAATCTCATAAGGATGAGAATCTTCCGCTTTTATGCCTCAGTATCCCAGGAATAACAATTAATGCCTCATCATGTTTCTTATATCTGTATCTAATGTAACTTCCCAATTCTGTTAGAACTTCGTTCAGTTCAGCAGTGATGAAAATAGATGTTTCTAACCAAGATTTAAGATCAGATTCTTATATCACCTTCACAGCATTCACATTAAAAGGTTTTTTTAATTATAAATGGAGAGAAAAGCGTTATTTGCTAGGTCACCAACCTTTCTTGAATGGTGTAACCATATTCCACCCTGCACTGATTTATAAACTGGGTTTAATTATGCACAAGTGTGTGCACATGATTATATCTTATTAATCATTTTTTGCTAAGTTTTTGATAAACAGCCAATCGTGGCATGTCATCAAAGCCTGAGAAGACTAAATAAGAAGATTGTTTAATAGGAATTTAAAAATATTCATGTTTAAAAGAATCATTAGAATGTTTTCCTTAGTCTTGATGAATTTGGTAGTTCTTCAGAAAATCTACCATCAACACTTGTATGTAGTGTTTATTTCAAATTGTTGCAAATATATATATTTTGAAGTTTGTTTAGTGAGGGTCAGGGAATGTAATGAAGTGCCAAAAATTCCACTTGACCTACGTACTCTATAGCCCACAGAACAGAACTCCAATTTTTGCACTGCACTGAGTTAAACATTCCCTAGAAAACAGAGAAACTACCAACTGAGAAAGTTTAATATGACATAATTAGACTACAGGGTGGGTGCCAGTCCTGTCCACAAAAGCCAGAAATTTTAAAGAGTTGTGACTGCATTAAGCAGAAGATTAGACAATGGCTGCATAGGCTGAATAGTCTCAGAGTCCAGAGTCCTCATTCTTGATCAAACTCAAGGTCAAGTTCTATGCTTCCGTTGTGATCACATAAGACCAGAAATTCACAATAAGCTATCATCTCAAAATGCCATCAACCAGAAACCTTTACTAATAGCCTCTTTCACAAATTGGCATCACAGTGATAAGTACTGTAAGGTCCTGTAGTACCTCCTGAATCATCACATAAATGACAAGTTCTATCTCTATAACATATGTGTCAAGTGCATTTTCCTTTAGCCTGCTTCTTTGGAAAGGCAGGGAGGCAAAGTAAAGATGAAGTTAATGAGGAAGGAGGACCTACAAAGATAAGGTTTAGGTACTGATGGGTAGTAGAGCCAGGCAAAGGAGCTATATAAGCCATAGAGAACCACTGAAACTTTACTATGGGACAATTGCATGATGTACTCAATATTTATGGAAGTAGTTGGACAACAGAGTGTAAGGTAAACAAGATCAAAGGAGAAAAGAACCAGGAGGCCACCTGGGAGTTGTGGCTGGATTAGAGTGATGAACATCAAATGGAAAGAAATGGCTTAAACCTTGAGACTTTTCAAAGCAAAAGTCCACACAATTTTTATTTATCTTATTTCTTTATCCCCATATCCAGTCAGCCATGGAGATAAGTCTGAGGTTTCAACGCTGGGTGATTGTGACAGTAATAATAATAAAAAAGGCAAAAGGAGATACTGTGTAGAAGGAAGCACCCTTTTCTCTCTTTTGCAAATATAGAGAAAGAAGAATATGAGGTTATTGAAAACTAATTAAACAGGATGAATCCCATTTTGTTGGGTGTATATTGGATCAAGCCTTTTATACGCTGCCAGTTAGGATGTACCAATCAGCATAATGGGAAAGTCATATATGTAATATATCTCCAGAATGAAAACCTTTCAAATCTTTATGTCTTTCGAGCCAGTCTTCTTCAGTAATAGGAGAGGCAGTTTATGCAGGCAAAATTGCTTATAGTCATATTTGCACTGGTAGAAGCTTGGAAGCAACCTAAGTGTTCAGTGATAGGGGAAGGTTATATAGAACATGATACATCATATAAGCTTAGTGAAATGTACTTCATGGCTAATTGATTTTTTTTTTAATTTAGAGATCTGTTAAGTTTAAGTCAGAGATACAATATCTTATATACTCAAAGAGAGTATAACCATGTGGAAAATGTGTGCATCTGGAAAAGGCTAAAATTTTTTGTTGAAATATTAATATTTCTTTCCTGGAGTCATTAAATTATGAGAGTTTTTTTTCCCTCCATATGTTGCTTTTTCTCTCCTAACAATGGTATAGAAGGAAACATTGAAGTTAAGAAAACAGGTGAAGAGGGGAGCCTGGGTGGCTCAGTCGGTTAAGCATCCTACTTCAGCTCAGGTCATGATCTCACAGTTCGTGAGTTCAGACTCTGCATCAGGCTCTGTGCGGACAGCTCAGAGCCTGGAACCTGCTTCAGATTCTGGGTCTCCCTCTCTCTCTGCCCCTCCCCCATTTGCACTGTGTCTGTCTGTCTGTCTCTCTCTCTTTCTCTCAAAAATAAATAAACATTAAAAAAAGAGTTTCACACAGTAGCTATCACTTATTATGTACCTATCACTTATCACTTATTATTCTAGATAAATATTATACATCAAT